TGGCATGCCCGTGGCGTGCAGTGGCCATGGTGTGCCCATGGCTTGCCCGTGGCGTGCCGTGCCTGTGGCGTGCCGTGCCCGTGGCGTGCAGGCTTCTGCTGACGTACCTGGGAGACCGTGATCTCTGCCCCGTTGCAGGTTTAAGGAGGCCAGATCCAGTCCCATTATTTCCAGCTGTTCAAAAAGCCGCTCCTGGAGCTCTGCCACCATCATTTGGTTCTGCTTCATTAGTTTTGCAGGGTCAACCAGCATGCCGCGGAGGAGCGGGTCGATGCCACCTGCAGTGAAGGCCAAGTCGAGAAAGTAACAGCCCAGTCGGTCACAGATGCCACCATGCTGGCTGCCTCTGGTGCAACGGAAGGTTAGCCGCCCTGGAACTCTGCAAGCGCCGCAGCTCTCAGTAGCTAATCTTAGCATTAGCACTGGAGGGCAGGGGTGCGGACTAGACCTTCCAGTGCTACGATCCTAGCCTCCTGCCCAGGTAAGGACCCAGAAATCACGGCTTGTCTGCTGGATTTGGCGGATTTATCACCAGACCACACCCTGTCCGGATGCATTGAACCACAGGACGGGCTGGCACGAGCTCGGGGGGGCTGAGCCAGGAACGTGCTTAACGTGAAGCGGGTGTGTAACTCGCAGGGAAGCCATGGACTTAAGGGCTTGCCGAGCCCCGGCCTTGCTTGCAAACTGGCCTGCAGGCCGGCGCGAGCTCACCTTCCATGACAACCCTCCAGGTCGCAGAGAAGGTGAGGTGGAGCGGGACCTGGGACTGCGGACCCAGAGGCTGGAAGTGTTCATCTAAACGGGTCACCAGCGGCTGGATGGAGCCGTGGCCGAACCGGAAAGCCATGGAGAAGACGTTTGACACGGTGGGGTCCTCAGACTCGTCATAGCCCCGGTAGCAGGGTAGCTGCTTTTCAAGCTCATCTCCAAGCAGAAGTGGCAGGTAGTCTCTGTACGTGAGCACCTGGAAGGGAGCACAGCCTGCGTTTGTTCGGGGGAGATGGCAGTCTGGCATTATCAACAGGGCTAGTCAGACATTCTGGTCACGACACAAGACGTCAGGGAAACAGCTGGGGAGGCCAAAGACAATAAGAAGGAAATTGTCGCTCCCCGAGGCACAATAACAATTCTAGCAATGGCCTGGGGGGAGGGTGAAGCTGCTGCTAGGGGAGGCAGGCCCCCCAGCCCCACTCTTCTGCATGTGACCCCTCCCATACACCACCCTTGCTCTGCTCCAGGCTCCACCCCACTCTGTCCAGGCCCCGCCCTCCCGTCTCTCTTCTGACCCATGCCCTGCTCACCCCTTCCAGCCAAATCCCTGAACCCAAATGAAAAAAAAAAAAATCCTGCAATTTCTTTGTAAAAAAAAAAGGAGAATTTTGACTCTCCAGAGGCCATGAGCTTCACAGCTCGAAGGGGCTCTGCGTGGCCTGGCAGGAAAGCCGCAGGAGGAAAGGCAGCACCAGCTTTCTGGCCACATGGAGAGGCTCAGAGACCTGGGAATGAGAGAGGAGGAAAAGAGAGAGCAGGGAAGGGCAGTAGCCTGGTCCTGTAGCCCGGCCCGGATGAGAAGGGACTTGTGGGGCGGGGGGTTCCAGGCACATCCCCTGCAGCTCTTGCAACTTTTCAGGTCTGAGAGTTTGACGCAGGCGCCTCAGAGGACGGCCGTGCGGCTGCTCTCATGCTGTCTCAGCGCCCTCACTACCAGCTAATTCACAGCACTTAGCTCCAGCCCGAGGCTGGATTTCAGAATTCTCCTGGTGGCTTGGAACACGGCCCCACTCCTGGCACCAAGGCTGAGCAGGGAACCACTCTGCCCTCCCCTGTGCTAGTACCTGGGTCATAGCGCCAATGATTTTCCGGGCCTCCTGGTAGAGCTTCTCTCCATCCCACTGTGGATTTAATTCCTTCAGCTCTTTAGCCAAGCGATTATGCTCCCGCACAAAGACTGTGTGGAGAGCCGTAAGTCCCAGGTTTTCGGTCACTCGCGCATCCCCTAGTACATAAAACACAGGCTGAGGATGTATCCGCCCGAGGGACACTTTTACGTTTGTCGGATTAGACTCTCCTGTGGAGCGTGAGCTGCCAGCAATGCCTCATTACCTGGGAGGAGTAATGGTTCCACGAGGAGTAACGGTAGTTTGGAATAGGAAGCCTAATCCGAACTACCTAGTTCGAGCCGTGTGTAGCCGCGGGCACAGAGTCCGAACTAGCAGACATTTAAAAATGGCGGCGCCCGGCAATATGCAAATGAAGCCCGGGAAATTCAAATCCCGGGCTTCATTTGCAACTCCAGTTGCCTACATTAACCACCCTAATTCGAACTAGGGGGGTAGTGTAGACATACCCTGAGAGTCACCACGGGGCGCTGCTCTGAGAGACAGCTGGGCCCCTCGACAGCTATGCAGGAGGGCCGACACTGGGCACGGCGCTGCGACAGGCGCCCTGGGCTGCCGAGAGCCAGAGGCGAGTGCACGCTCTCAACTGAGTGGCTGCGGCAGACCTGATTGGATTCGAACGTAGCTCCGGGATCGGGTGTCCCGAAACGTGCTCTGTGGTGCCCTGGGGCTCCAGGCAATGAGTCCAGGGGCCCCGCAAGAAAATATTAATGGCAGCTCGATGACCCTGGCACTTTGTTACCATTTTTTCTGAGCGTTTTCTTGAAACAAATAGAATGTATAAGAAACAGACAAGAAATACAAATCGAATTCCAGCCCTTCTCGATTTATCTGGGTACCTAGTGGATCGTGATATTTTAAGGATTCTGCCAAATGTTCAGGACCTTGTAGGGGCTCTGCGGCTGACCCTGGGCCAGAGGGAGACAGGGCACTGTGCTAGGGCCTGTAGGACGTGCACCCTGGAAGGAGCCCGCTTTGCTTGTACCCCTCAGACCGTGTGTGACTCCGATGGAGGGGCTGGGTCACTGAAGCCCACCTGTGAAGATAATTGCAAGCTGAGCGAAGCGGCGTGCAGGTGCAGACACACCCCGCGGGCTGGGACATTCACGCAGGGGACATCCCCTCCGACTCCGTGTGGGACATCTCCTCCACACTGTGCACATTCCGCTCGGGGCGGGAACACAGCTGCAGAGCGATGACTTACCTGCTTTAAAGCAGGGGATATTCGCAGTCTTGTTTGTGAGTACACAGAGGCTCTGGGACTTGTTCTCAAAGGGCAGTAATCCCAACCCCGCATCGGTAAAGTTCTGGTTCAGCGCCAACAGCCCCAGCTGGTTTGTCTGATTCCGAAGACTCCTCGCTAGCGGCACTTCACTGCCGTACACCATGCCGGCATCCAGGAACGAGGTGATCGCATTGATCTGCTCTCGTGTAAAGGTCTTGGCATTGCAGACTGGAGCTGAGCGGACGAACGGCATACAAGTATTTGGGTCCTTAATCCGTGGGTCATTAAGAGGAATCTGGAGAAAACAAAAGAGAAAGACTCCCAATGTGCAGCTTAAAGATTGGGGTTTTAAAAAGAGATCCCCTAGTTCAAAGGGAATTATTCTAGGGACAATCTATAGCCTGTGGTTTGACAGGAGGCCAGAGTAGGTTACCACAATACCCCTGCCTTAGAACCTCTGCATCTCCCAATGTCCCAAATGCAGCATCTAGTATTGCCATAGCAACAGAAGAACTGACAGATTGGACCAGTTCCAGGGTGCACCTACTCCAATGACCTGTCTCCAACAGTGTCTGGGACCAGATGATTCAGAGGAAGGGTCGTGAAGTCCGGAGCAGACAGGCATGCCCTCATCTGCACCCATGCACCCTAACCCCTCCTACTAAAAGCCTGGTTTAAAACCTGAAGTAGGATTTTTATAATTCTGACCAAAACTGTCTTAGTATTAGCCCTGCTAAATCTGGGTGGCCTTGGTATGCATATGACTGTCCAGCCCCTCTTTTCATCTTGCTGCATTCACCATCTAGTGTTGGTGAGTTCCAAAGTCTGTTGGTTTATATAAGGCCTTTGTATTTTTTCTGTCATATTCTCCATCCCATTTGTCATGCATCATAACACCCTGTTTGCTTTTTGGGCCCCAGCTGCATATGGAAGGGAGTTTTTCATTGAAATGTCCACAGCGATGCCCAACGTCCTTTCCCTGCATTATAACGAGAGTGCCCAGAGCTCTACCCTGAAGCAGCCAAACAACCCGCACCCTTGTCACAAGAATATTCGTTAGACCCAAAGTCAAGAGCTCGGAAGTTAGGAAATGACACGTTCTATGGCTGCCCTTCACTCTAGCTTGTGTGTGTCCATTCTGTGCACTAGAAAAACTAGCGCCTGTGCCACGGCCCACACATGCCAGGCACAGACTAAAGACAGCAGGGACACCCTGAAGTCTGGAATTTGTAAGCCTTGGAGCACTCGGCCCTGCTGTCTGGGTTGTCTGTGTGAGAGTCGTTGCCTTTTTCAAAAAGAAAACAGGTCAAGTCAAATTATTTTATATGCCATAGTCACTTCCTCACTCGCAGGGGGTCAGACTAGATGATCATAATGGTCCCTTCTGACCTTAAAGTCTATGAGTCTATGAGTGTTGTCTAGCAGCATCAGCAGCACTTCCCCCACTTGTGGGCCCGTAGCAATCACTGGGGGGTGAGTTAGAGCTAAACCCTGAGAGCCAGGACTGGGGGATGCAAACAAACTTCACGGGACTGCGGGAAACTTGGCCACCCCCCTGCCAAGCAGACGCCCGGCGAACTCACATCATGCCAGACCACGGGTGGTGCCAGAGCAGGGTGCCGGGCTAGAGCGGTT